ACAGGAGCAGGAACAGAAAATTCAGGCTGAGCTTGGCCTAGCTAAGCCTCCTAATTTAGACCTTCCTCCCAGGTACATCACATTGAGGTGTTGGTAAGGTGCCTGCAAGGTAGGTAGAGCTCCTGGAAAAGAAATTTATAGTACTGTACTTGTACTCCGGAAAATCCAAAAATCCCATTCCTGCCTCTGACAGCATGAGGCCCGAACCAACCATCTATTACACCACTAATAGTACAATGTCTCCAGTAATATCAGTAGAGTCATGCCCCGCTGGACAATTACCCCACTCTACGATGAATCTGCTTTACATTAACAATGTTTTAAATGGTGTTTTTTCACTGTGTTTCGGGAACCGATTTTCACTTTACAACAATCAGCACACAGCTGATCGATGGGTTTCAAAATGGCCACTAGCTGAAGAAAATGGCCCCCCACTGTTTTCTAGGACAGATTCTTCGCTTTACAGGCACCGAAAATGGCCGCCGTATGGATGATCTTCGCTGCATGAGCAGGTATTCAGCCCATTGGAATGCACTGAACGGTTTTTAATGGGTTTTTTTTTAATTTCGTTTGATGACGTTTTGTTTTTTTTTTTAGTTTCGCTTGATGATGTTTTCGCTCTACAGCGATTTTGCTGGAACAAATTAACGTCGTCAAGCGAGGCACCACTGTATATGCCACCATCTGAAGCTTCAGCTTTGGGATATAGGAGAACATCTGGAATCGAAGGACGTCTCTTTTGCAGACATCCTCCAGGGAACCCCAGGTACTGTTACACTCTCTCCAATACTACACAGTGTGTGACCTCACTTCCTTTTTATTCACTCACTTCCAGTCTTTGTTGTCTAGCACAGGATACAGGTGTACACACTAAGGGGTGTCCACAAGACTGCGGCCTTCTCAATTTATGCTCTAGCTCTGTAGTTTTTCTCTCTTTTTTCACCCCTTTCAAAACCCCATTGTTTCTGCTTTTCATACGAACAGGTATGAAATGGAGAACAAAGGAAAGAGAACAGCTTTGGTGTCACAGTCTATTAGGCCGTGGAAATGGTTCCCAAGGGGAAGCAACAGGCATTCAGCCTTGCCTGGCTTGTTCAAAATAGAGCTGGACAAAACACTAAGGAATATCCAGCAAGGAACGCGGTATGTTGGCAAAAGAGATTTGACAGCTGCTCCGGCTCAAAATCGGCAGTTCTTTTAGTAATACGATCTCTTCCAAAGAGAAGGGGAAAAGCAAGAAAGAACTTCCTACAAAACCTACCACACAAATTCTGGCACAAAAGTTGTCCATGGCCTTTTACTTGAATAAGCCCAAATTTCATGCGAAAGGCTGGACTGGAAGAATCCCAAACTGGAATTAAGATTGCTGGAAGAGATATCAACAGCCTCAGATATGCAGATGATACCACTCTGATGGCAGAAAATGAGGAGGAATTAAAGAACCTCTTAACGGTTCAGGACCTCAATATCTGGCAGAGCGCCTTCTCCCACCCGGTTCTGCCAGAGTCATTCGTTCCAGCCAGGCCGGGAGGCTGAGGGGCCTAACGCCGAGGGAGGTCCAGAAGGAAAGAATGACGAACAGGGCCTTCTCGGCAGTGGCCCCTCGCCTTTGGAACAACTTGCCAGTGGAGATCTGCCTGGCTCCCTCTCTGGGTGTTTTCAGGAATAAACTTAAAACCTGGCTATTTGGGCAGGCTTTCCCTCCTGCCATATCTTAATTTCTTACACTTTATCATCCTGGACCTATAATATATGTTTTTGGTTTTATTGTTTTTACATTTGTAAACTGCCCAGAGTAGACCTTTGGTCTAGATGGGCAGGACAGAAACCCAATAAATAGATAGATAGATTAGACAGACAGACAGACAGACAGACAGACAGACAGACAGACAGACAGACAGACAGATAGATATGATGAAAGAGGAGAGCGCAAAAAATGGTCTGAAGCTCAACATTAAAAAAAAACGAGATCATAGCCACTGGTCCCATCACCTTCTAGAAAACAGAAGGGGAAGAGATGGAGATAGTGACGATTTGACTTTCCTGGGCTCCATGATCACTGCAGATGGTGAGAGCAGCCATGAAATTAAAAGACACCTGCTTCTTGGTAGGAAAGCGATGACAAACCTAGACAACATCTTAAAAAGCAGGGACATCACCTTGTCGACAAAGGTCCGCATAGTCAAAGCTATGGTTTTTCAGTAGCGATGTGTGGAAGTGAGAGCTGGACCATAAAGAAGGCTGACCGCCAAACAATTGATGCTTTTGAATTGTGGTGCTGGAGGAGACTCTTGAGAGTCCCCTGGACTGCAAAGAGAACAAACCTATCCATTCTGAAGGAAATCAACCCTGAGTGCTCACTGGAAGGACAGATCCTGAAGCCGAGGTTCCAATACTTTAGCCATCTCATGAGAAGAGAAGACTCCCTGGAAAAGACCCTGATGTTGGGAAAGTGTGAGTGCAAGAGGAAAAGGGGACGACAGAGGATGAGATGGCTGGACAATGTCACTGAAGCAACCAACATGAATTTGACCCAGCTCCGGTAGGCCGTGGAAGACAGGAGGGCCTGACATGCTCTGGTCCACGGGGTCATGAAGAGTCAGACACAACTTAATGACTAAACAACAACAACAAGCCCAAACTGGGCTGCAGGTCTTCTGCTGCTAGCTGGTGTTGTGGAGTGTTCACAAACAATTAAACTGCTCAGTGTGAAGGTATCATCAACAGTGTAACATGGATGAACATTTTCACTTACAAGATGGAAAGGTTTAGACAGGAAGAAAACAGCATAGAAGCCCTAGACATGGCATCAGCAGAGAAGCAGCGGCACTGGGCTGGAGGAAAGGTTGGCAATGAATGGGGGAGAAGAGAGGACAAGGCATTAACAGGAGAATAGATCTGAAGAAAAACAAGCACAAAGTCTGGAAAGAAGGAAGCCACTGAGCTTGACACGAGACAGGCAATCACATGGTTGATGGGGCAGGACAGAAGACTGAAATCTTAGGCTGAAAAAAGATTTATTAATGGGAAGGCAGATGACTTTGTTCAGTCCTTAAGTCCCACCTCATAGGCACTAGTCATTTTGCTCAGATTCCATGTACCAATTACACACATACAGGCTTTTTGAAGTCCATGGCATCCACTGTGGAATTTCAAGCCTATTTTTTCAGTCATTATGACTAGAAATATGATGATTTTTTTAAGGAGATGTTCCTGCAGAATTCTGTGCTAGATGTTGAGTATAGTGGAATCCATGCAGTGAAAAGTACTCCAAGTTATAACTCTTATGAATATCCATGCCACATACTCTTGACATGGCGAAGGACCTCCTGTCTGAAGGGTTCACCCGGTCATTTCACATCACATCCCACTGCCCCTCCCCGCCATTAAACAGACACACAATCTTTGGGCTTGCAGAAGTCTTATGTTACCAAGCATGCCTTTGGTCGCCAACTTTTATTCTATTGGGCTCCTCCAACCCCGTTTATATCTTATCTAAGAACCACTACAGGTTTCCAAAAGAAATACATAGAAGGACTCCATCAAAGGATAGGATTGTGTGAGTTCTCAGCTCTACACTTGTAGGGATGCAGTCCGCCAGCTGCCCTGGCCCAAAAAGACTCAAGCTTTGGTTAAGCAGGAAACAGAACACTTTCTTTGCAAGGCTGCAACACACTGATAATATTCAGTACTTTTGGTACTCTTGTGTCTTCTTTAACCTTTCCCTGAACACTGTCTCAATATGCTCCCTTCACAATACTACACATAACTCCACATTTTCTCTCCCTTCCCGACATTCAACCTCTTTGGCTGATTCTAATAGCCACTCCCCTTTCTCCCCTCCCACTGCGTTCCAAAGACTGTGATAGGCTGAGCCCAAAAGAGGGTGGATACCAGCACTGTCCATCACACTTTATTTCAATGTTATCTCCAGTTTTGAGGGGAAAGGTCTCAACAGGTTTGATTGAACTGCCTGAGAACAACTCAGAAGTATATTGTGCCTTCTAGAGAAATGGTTCCCAACCTTGGGCCCCCAGATGTTCCCGGACTGCAACTCCCAGAAATCCTGGCCAGCAGTGGTGAAGGCTTCTGGGAGTTGTAGTCTAAGAACATCTGGAGACACAAGGTTGGGAACCATTGCTCTTAGAGAGTCTGATTGGTCACTTCAAGGCCCACATTAAAAAAGGGGAGGGTGGGAAGTTGGGAAGTCAAGAGTGGTACATGAAGCCCATTGCTTAATACCAACACACATCCTCACGGCTCTCCTTTCCACCCAAACCACTTTCCTCTCTTTCCCTATGGCAATTATAAACAAAGCAAAAAGAACAATCTGTCAAGGCTATGCATCTTTAATGGTGTGATGCATCAGGGAAGAGGGCTGTGTGTCTCTCACTAGCATAATCACAGAGGCAGGACATGCAAGACTGGAACAGCACAAGCTTATGGCAGTAGAGAGGCTCTGCTCTGGTTCCAAGATAATCAAGCTTAAAGCTGTGCTGGCTAGCCGTGACCTTTTTCAAAAATACAAACACAATATCTAATTTAAGAAAAACAGGAGCCTCCCAGGGAGAAACACGTTATCTAGAGAAAACTCGGGGGGGGGGAGAGTTGGCTTCACCAACACCGTGACTCGGTTATTGCTTTCACTTTGTAATTACTGCTGTACAGCCGGGCTGTAGATTTAGTGCATAAAAAACAGCCTCTCCAATTGCGTCCTCTTCATTTGCAAAAGATGGTTTTGAATATCAAAGCGCCTGGGGTCTCAGCAGAAAAACACAGGCACACTTTTTGTCAAATTACATGGCCTCCAATTTCTGACACAGGGTTGTCGGGAGGACAGCCACTCTGACGTGGAGGACGCTGTTGCTTCAGCTCTCTTAAGGAGGGAGAGGGAGAGGGAGAGGGGAAGAGAGAGAAAGGGATGATCTACCTGATGGCAAACATGGAATTCCAAACCTGAGCTTTGCAGGGGAAAAGCAGCAGGGGGAAGGGACGCTTACCTTGCCTCTCTCCTGCTGCTTTCCGTGTGCAATGCCCTCTCGGCTGCTTTCCTGCATGTTTTGAGATGCCGTTGTCAGTCATGTGTGGAAAGGGTTGCCAGTCAAGATAGGAAAAGAGGGGAAAGAAGGTGTTACAGAAGAAAAAGAATCAGAAGGGAATGGATGAAAAATGCATTCATTTATGGAACTGGATGCCACAAGGAGTGGAGGTAAACATCTGTAAAACAGGTGGTTACATGAAACCTCTGCAAGCATTGAAAAAGGCATGTGCTCAGGCTTGCTGAACACAATGAAGAATGTGGCCAAGGGGTGTGCTGACATACGCCATCTACATCCCCTGTGTGTTTGACAAATGTAAGAAGCTGCCAGAGCTTGGAATTTTAGAAGGAACCCACTGCCAGACTCATTACGTCTTAGAAACAAAGTTCCCGTTATCATTCATCTGATCGCAGAAGTAAATCATTGTATTCCACATTATTAATGTGTTCCATTGTCACTGCCTGCTCAGAAAAGAAAAAACACAAAGAAATACTCTCTGGTTCCCCCTAGTGGCCTATTATGATACTGTGCTTCAGAAATAGTTATATAAAATACATATTTCTCTCTCAAATAGGATTGAAAAGAAAATTGTTCTAAAACTGGAAAAATCCTTTCAAAATGATTCTAAAAATGCCCTTAAAAGTAATTTTTAAAAATAAAAGCTTGTTACACACGGTAAATACTTGTAATGTTTTGTATTAGACCAAAGTAACTTAAGCATCACTTATACCAAAAAAGTAACTTTGTGCTCACTAGCTATATTACTCATTACCAAAAAGTATGTTACTTGCAATTTGCCTGGGAGCTCCACTCATCACAGACAGCAATATAGTGCCAATTTCAAGCTTCTTCTTTCATTGCACCAAAAAAGTACTGTAAGTAGCTGTAGGGAATCACACTTTTACCAAGAACAGCACCATTCTAGAGCAGATACAGAGGAGTACAGCTAAGACGTAAGGACTCTAGAAATCAAGCCCCACGATGAAGAGATGAAAAGTGGCCCTATTTGGCACAGAGAAAAGACAACTAAAGGCAGGCATGCCAGTTGCCTTCAAATAGCTCTTCAAGGCTCTCATCCAAAAGATGGGAGTGGCTTGTTCTCCCCATTGCAGAATTTGGAAACAACTCTGATTCAGAAAGAGACACTGCAGTCTCAAAATGTAAGAAAATAAATCCTTTATTTCAATTTAAAATTGCCCACCGCATTTCAGCCTGATTTTATGGCCTCCATCAGAAGCATCAATTTTGGTCTATGTTAGATCTCTTTTTCTTTATTTGCACTGTACACAGCTCCAACGGAACTAATATAGACCAAAAATCAACCCTCATAGGCCTGTGTTTTGCATCAACACATATGAATGCAGGATGCAGCAATGTAGACAGGCTTTTAAAAACCCGGAAACAACTAGAAAATTGCTTTTGAAACACCAACTCAGTTACAATTACAGTTCTAAAGCCTCCAAAGTAGTCAGCTATCACTGCTCACAACTCATGGACCCACGGAGGGAAGTGATACCAACTGGAGGTGAGGGACCCTCTCCTTCCTAGGTCTCTTTGCTACTACTGTTGTTGCAAGTTTTTTAAAGTAACTTTTAACTTTCTCATTATTCAAAAACAGCTAAAAGAAGTTTTAAAAAGAAAACTTCAGGGTGCTAGAAGTCATTCACTTGTGGTACAAAGCAGCCTTTCATTGTGAGGCCACACATCCCATGTAACTGTTGATGTAACTGAAATGCAATGACAGTTACAGAACACAAAAAAAGCAAAAGTTTTCCCTTCTTAAACACAATCACGACATAACTATGTCTTAGTCACTGCAATATGAAACAAAGTTTGAAGAAGTTATTTTTCTGGATGCCAACGTCCAGAATGGATGAACCAGCATCGTCCTAAAATAGCTCTGTTTGGGGGGGGGGGAAGCTGATTGCTTTTATTTTAATCAATTACGGTGTGAGGGAAAAATTCTCAGTAAACAAGCTGTGAGAGGAGATGAGCTGTGGAGGCGAGGAAGAATAGCACCAAATTTTAATGCCCTGGCTGGTTTTACTGGAGGTTATGGGCTGGTCTCGTGCTGTTGGACAGTTGGCTGATCCCCATCCAATTGGATGCATCCCCATCTCCTAATGCCAGCTGCTGATGCCCAACTCATTCGGTTCCCACCTGCACAAAACTGCCTGGAGGGCCAACTCTGCAAGCACATGCAGGGAGGGAGGCACAAGCCACACACACACACTCAGGTCTATCTGTCCCAGGGGAAAAGGGATGTGAAACGGACAGGGAAGAGTTCCAGCACGACTCTCTGCATGTGCCTGGAGTCGAAAGATGAGCAGATGGAGATCTTCCAGCTAGACAAGAGGAAAATGCACCATGCCCAGCAAAGGCTATAAATAAAGGCTACACATCTTGAGAGGTGGGAAAAGCAGGAATTAACAGGATCAGGCAATGTTTACGTGCCTGGAAGCAAATGGCATTGTGTATTTCAGCAAGGATCAATGCAGGGCAGGCAACTCCAGATTTATTTCCTTGCTATTTGTACATCACACCTTTCCTCCAATGAGCTCAAGACAATGCGCTCTCTACTTTATCCTCACATCAGCCTCATGGAGTAGGTCAAGGAGAAAGAAGGTGACTGTCCAAGGACACCCAGTGAGTTTCAAGGTCAAGTGGGGCCTTGAAACCAGATCTCACAAGTCCTACATCAACACATTGATCACTATGACACTGTCCTACAAAAGAAAATGCAAAAACATATGTTGGTGGACTCCAATTCCCAGTAACCCGTAGACAGCATCACCACTGGCTAGGGATGATGGGAGCTGGAGACCAGTATTTTGAGCATCTATATATAGTTCCTATCAGCTTTCACCAATATAGACAATGGTGAAGTGATGGTGGGGGCAACTGTGGTTGAACGACGTGTGGAAGAGCCACTAGTTGCCCCACACAAGCACCCACTGACCAGCGGGAAGGATATTGACTTTGTTCTACACTGTGCAAACACTTAAGTAAATTAGAAAAGGAAGACAGCAAAAAAAATAATAATTCAGGAATCACAGAATTACAAAAGAAACCCTGCCAGTTTTGGTAATGGAAATGTGCAGTTATAGCTATGTGAAGAAAAATGTTACCTTTTCCCTCTAAACCCTTCAATTAATATCTATCAAGTCAAATAAATGTTTTATCAACTTCACATGGATTTATTGCTCCATGTATTTAATCAGAGGCCATTCTTCTCTCATTAAAAGCCATCCTTTCCCCTCCTTTTGCTGTATTTTACCCTGGTTTCTTTGTTAATTGAATCCCTTTGATAAGACTCCCATAATTTTTCATTCAAATCATCCACAACAACAGGGTATCTACATTTGTGCAATTATAGCAGTTTGGTGGCCCATGAACTGAAGCTGTGGCTTCATCCTGTGGAATTCAGGGACATGACATTTGGTGACATTCTCTAGCGCATTCTCTAGAATAGAGAATTTTCATTCCCTCACCAAATGACATATCCAGGATTTGGAAGGAGAGAGCCGCCTCAGTTGAAGTGAGATCAAATTGCTATAGCTCTGTAGTGTAGAGCTGTGTTAAGTGTCTGGATCCTCTTTCAGCACAGGAAGCTGTCTAAGCTTTGTTCCCCTCAAAAAAGGTCAGTGCTTAATGTGGTTCCAGCTGCTGTGAGGATCATGAGGTCATGCGTGGGGTTCTAGGTCTCTGAGAATTGCTGGAACGTCAGGCAGGAAAACAAAGCACGAGGTCAGTGGTGCTGGAAGAGGAGACAGATTGCTTGATTTCCCCACACCGTGTGTGCTGCTTTCAAAATGTGTAAACGCTTGCCTACCCATTGCCAGTGGATACTATCATCAACGTATAGCCTATGACATCACAAGGGCTCACCCTCCTGTCTCATCTTGTCCCCCTCACATGTCGGAGAATGGGAAGCTCCTGGCCTAGTAACCTTAGCCATGTGAGTGCTAGACTCCTGCTATTTCCTTACACACTCACCCATCTAATTATCCTCCCCGAGTGAATCAGGCATTCTTTCAAACGGAAACGGCTCTGCTTCTGACCTGCTGCAGGAGAAGATATTATATAACCCGTCAAATGTACAGTATGTTGACATCCCATGGGAGAATCTCAAATCTCTCAGAGGATCTGCGTCTCGGATCAAGGTTTCTCTGCCCCGGGGCGGCAAAGGAAAATGCTGCATTGGCTGGATTGTTGTTTTTTTTAACTGTCTTTAAGTACCCGTGTGTGAACAGAATGGGCTGTGTTGAAAAATAAAATATGGAAATTCAAAAGGGGCTATTTTAATTCTATTGGATTCTTCTGTTATCCAGTTGTCTTGGGAGGGGGAAGTGTACACCACGGGACACTGATTTCACGAAGACAGTGGATGAAATGTAATATAGAGTTAAACTTATTTTAGGGAAGGTTGTTCAGCACCTTGGATAGTTCCTATAAAGTCTCTGGACTAAAAACTTATTTCCTGTATTAAGTGAAGTTATTAGAGGAACAGTTCTTGTTCACTTTCTGTTTGTGACAAGAAATGGTGGAAATGCCTCTCTTAGTGCCAACGTGCTTAAGGAGGACAGAGTATCATTAAGTACCTCTTTGAGCTTTTCCGATAACATATTCCTGCAAAATTTATACATATAAACCTTTTCTCCTTTCTTGAGTGATCAGGACCCACAGTTCCAAGTAAAAGTTCTATGTACATACAGGCAGAGCTTGGAAACAACATGATGTAACATACTGAAATCATGATTTTTGCATTAGGAAGACAAGCAAACTGAATCTAAAGAATAACATTTTAAAGTAGAATGTTTAATGTTTTGCACTTATTCTCTTAAAACCAAACGTGTTCTTCATGTGTAACACAAAAGCAACAGTTTTAATATTAATGTGTTTAATCTAACATGTGATTTCCAATCTCTGTGTCCAGGTGTATCTGTGTAGTGTTCATTCTGATGTTCCACCTAAGTTTGTGAGAGGCGAACGCCTGAAGGTCAGAGCAAGGT